CCTTTAGCTGTAACGTGAACAGATTTGTCTCACTAACAAGAAACCAGACAGTTTTGTCTGTTTCTCATCCTTAATTAATGCATAATAAGCATTTATTATTGARTGATAAGAATCTGTGTATAAAGTGTTTATAAAGCATCTATAACAGGAGTCAGGCTGTGATGTGGGAACATTTATCAGACTGTAGAAACATTACAATGATTTGGACAGTTCAGGAAAAGTTTTAAATTATAAAACATAATGTTAGTCTGAGGCTCACTTCCTGCTCTGCCTTTCTGCCTGCTTCAGTCGGGTGGTCCTGGTTTGGGTGGTCTCTCTCCTCCAGCTGTAAATATCAGGATGACTTCAGGCTCCTAAAGTTCATCCTTTGTCCAGCAGCAGCTCCGTTTACAACCAGGCTTTGGTTCTGGCAGCACCAGCTCCAGCCGGGAGACAGTGATGAAGTGTGTGTGTCTGTGTGTGTGTGTGTCTGTGTGTGTGTGTGTGTGTGGGGGGGGGGGTTACAGGGATCCCCCCAGACCTGATGTGGCAGCTGTTAGCTCTTTAAAGCCGCTCTGATTCTCTGACGTCTGCCAGCATTCCTGACATCATGACTCACATTCCAGCTGAGCAGCATCACCTCAGGGTCCACACAGAGACAAATAAAGACCCCCGCTTTAATCCAGGGGGGTCTCAGAGAGTCCAAACTGATGCACAAATCCTAATCCAGCAATAAAACAGACTTTAAGTTCAACCATGTTTGGTTTATATTCAGACAGTTCAGATCCAGCCTTATTTAAACCCAGATTTAGGTTTCAGATTATCAAAGATCAGTTTGTCCCAAATCTTAATCCAATCATTTTACAGCTCATTAAAAAACATAAAGTTATTAAAATCACTCATCAGGATTAAGAAACTTCTCATCTGTTAAACAATCAGAACCAAAATGAACTTCTCTGAATGAACGTTTGTTTTGTGAGTTTTATTTTTACCAGTTTGAATTAAGCTTTTCTTTTATCAAATGACACATATACCACCAACCTGCAGGAGATTACAGATTAAAACTAGACATGGGTTTTTACGATGTAAAACAAGTGTGCATTGCCATGTAGCATGTCATTGCAYCATYMCTTTGCCTGCAGCAGTGGACTTGCAGAATGAACTGTGACCAAGTTCAAATGTGTTTTCTATWCCAGCTTGTGCRTGTCAKYMCAGCAGGTGTTTGTAATTAAGGTAATTGTTTGACAATATGAAGTTTGCAGTGATTTTTTGTTAAAGTTGCTGTAGCTGGGTTTTGAACCCAGATCTCCCACATGAAAGCTCATAGAGTTAACCATGAGACCAGTGGAGCTGTGGCAGATGGTACTGCCAAGGGTTGGTTTGTATGTGTGCAGAAAGAGGCCACATTGCCAATGTAGTTGTTGACACAGAACTGCATAATGTTACAACAATAGAGTAATATTAGGACAAGATTTTAGTAAAACATCAAAATACAATTTATTAGTATTGTAATCACTGAACTACTGAGTTTAAATATTATTAAACTATGACTCAGTACTGAGTATATAGAGCAAGGGGCAGTATTGGACCAATACAAGGCTCCATTGACTGGCATTGTATGATTTTAAACATTAATATTTTAAAAACTATGAGTTTTACAGGCACCAAAAGGCATAGCCATCATTTGGCACAGGAGATTTACAGATATAAATTACAATGGCAGCTGTAGGACAAAGTATGCAGGAGGAGAAGCATGGCAAAGTGGAGATGACTTGGATGGGAAATGAATCACAATAGTGTGCATTGATTAGCTCTTGTGTCTAATCTAACAGATTTACATGTTTGTTTTAATGAACTCATGTTAATGTGCTCTGTCTCTTATGAAATAAATTCAACTTGGGTGAAAATGACAGTTTTTGAACAAACAACAGTTTTGAGTTGAACTCATGGATTTAATCTGACAGATTACAGGAGGGATTTTCTCTTTTTGTTCTCAGATGTCTCGATTTTTGGACATTAGAGAACTTGGAGAAGCCGCTCGCTACCTCCGACTCACCAACTTGGAGCAGCTGGCGGCCAAGGCCGAGGCCTTTGATGGTAAACACTTGCTTTTATTAACCAGCCATAACATTATGACCACCTGCCTTAGATGGTGTAACCAAGGTAATCATAGTTTGGGATTATTCTTTATAGTTTAGTTTTATTTTGTTGTGACATTTTTTCCTTTGATTCAGTTAGTCAACAGCTCCATCTGATCTCTCGTGGACCTCCGGAGGTCTGCTGTGCACCTTTAAAAATCTCTTTCTAAAGGACTCTGGTGGACCTCTGAAAGTCTCCTGTGGTGTTGGTCTTCAAGCCATCTGTAGCAGATCCTTAAGGTCCTAAAAGCTGGAAGGTGTGGCTGCTGTGGATCGGACTAGTTGTTCCAGAACACCTTATAGATTCTCAACAGGGAGGAGGGGGTCTGTCAGCAGTAATAACTGGGTCAGAGCTTCGGATCAACATCCTCATGAGTGGAAGGACCCAACGTTTCCCAGTAGAACTTTGACTTTTTCAGCTGAGCTCCAGCAGCTTGTTTATGGATCAGGACAACACAAGTCTTTCTTCACTCCCAGTGCACGCCAGTAGTCCTCTGCCATTCGTAACCCGGTCTCTGGTTCATTGGTTTTTTTCTTGGTCCATTTCTTGTAGGTCCTGACCTGTACGGACCAGGAATGTCCCACAGAGCTGCATCTAAACCTCAAATCCTCAGTGTGTCCATTTATTTTCTGTGTCCAACACATCACCTTCAGGGGCAGAATGTTCACTTATAGTCTAATAAAGCTGCTGAGTACCACAGTAACCAGACTTTCAGTGTTGTTGTGGTCATAATGTTCTGTGTGATCAGTGTATCATGTGTACGCAGGCGAGTACTGAACTAAAACTTTGTTTTAGGAACCAAACGTATTTGGATGCCAGATGAAGTTGAAGCGTACATCGAGGTGGAGGTCAAGGAACTGAATGGAGAGAAGACAACTGTAGAGACTAAAGATGGACGGGTTAGTAACCAGTTGACCAATACTAGTAACTAGTTAACCAATACTAGTAACTAGTTAACCAATACTAGTCTAAGTAGCTGTTTTATCAGTTGCTTTAGATTTAAATGGTTAAAAAACAGGTAGAAGTTTAATTTCCAATTTGCTAAGATGTGCTGAACCGTTGGTCAGTATTGTACCAGAGTTATTGGACCTTACCATCGGTCAGTATACTGCAGTACTAAAAACCCAACTGTTGGTCCAATGATGTGACAGATGTACTGGATCTATTGGTCCGTTTCCTTTACCTGAACTTTAAACCACAGCTCTCTGTCATGCACTTTAGTTTCTCATCGTAAAAGAGGACGACCTGCAGCTGATGAACCCTCCAAAGTTCGACATGATCGAGGACATGGCCATGCTGACCCACCTTAACGAAGCCTCTGTCCTCTTCAACCTCAGGAGACGATACGGCATGTGGATGATCTACGTTAGTGCCTCACAAACAAAACAGAGGAACACCTCTCTGCACAACATGGGACAAAACTCCTGCTGAAGTACTGTTTTTGTCTTTTGTGTACCAGACGTACTCGGGCCTGTTCTGTGTGGCCGTCAATCCCTACAAATTGCTTCCTGTTTACACCACCGCTGTGATAACGGGCTACAAAGGGAGACGCCGTACGGACATGCCGCCCCACATCTATGCTATCGCTGACAACGCCTACACTGACCTGCTGAAGAGTGAGAGACCCGGTCTTCCAACAGGGTTTCATCAAAAYCTCTTTGTCTTTCTGATGTTTTATTTGATTTATTTTTTCTTTCCCAGATCGTGAGAACCAATCAATGCTCATCACGTACGTCAATCTCTCAGTTACCAGCTGTGCCTCTTTGATCTGTAATCTTTGAATCAAAATGTGGTTTTGTTTTTGATTGTCTGGTCAGTGGGGAGTCAGGGGCAGGGAAAACGGTCAACACCAAGCGGGTGATCCAGTACTTCGCCATCATTGCTGCTTTGGGGGAAAATGTGAAAAAAGTTGTAAGTTACTTTTATTTTCTTGAATATGTAACTGTTTGTAAAATGTTAAAACGATCCACTGTGACTTCGATGTTTTTATTTTTCCAGGGCTCTTTGGAGGATCAGATCATTGAAGCAAATCCTGCCATGGAGGCGTTTGGAAACGCCAAAACCATTCGAAATGACAACTCCTCTCGCTTTGTGAGTTCAGTAAAGTTCATTTAATGTTTGATGCTGGAGCTGAGGACAAGTTTTTATGTTTCAGCTTATATTTTAAACAGTTTTAAAAGATTTGGGTCTTTGTTTATTACAGGGAAAATTCATCAGAATTCATTTTGGGCCGACTGGGAAGCTGGCGTCGGCTGACGTCGACAGCTGTGAGTCTGTCTGCGGCACGTTGTTCTATGAAGAGACGTTTACACCTGCTCTTGCTCACAAATAAAAGTATTGCTTTGTTCATTTTGATCAGATCTTCTGGAAAAGTCCAGAGTTGTGTTTCAGCAGCCAGGAGAGAGAAGTTACCACATCTATTACCAGATTCTGTCCAATCGCAAACCAGAACTACAAGGTAATTACGGCAACATGATGTGATAATAAATACAGAACCAGATGATTTAATTCAATCTGGGTTCAGACAGAAACAGATAAAGTGATGCAAACTGTTAATTGTTTTATTTCAACAGGACTGACAAGCTAACAGTTAGTTGGGCAAAGCTACAACCAGAGTAGATACTTAAAGTAGCTTTATATAAATGAATGTCCTCTCTTTGATGCCCTCTGGTTTTTGAATTTAGACCTAAATCATTAAAAAGTCTGCGGATTTTTAGATTGATTTGAATGAATATATTTTATTAACTTTGTTGCAGACATGCTGCTGGTGACCACCAACCCCTATGACTACCACTTCTGCTCTCAGGGAGTGACCACTGTGGAGGGCATCAACGACGGGGATGAGCTATGTCTCACCGACGTAAGACAAACTCCTCCCCTCTGCACATTACCTAACTCCTCCCCCTTTACCCTCTGCTTTTAATAATCTAACTCCTTCCCTTTACTTTTAAGAAACTAACCTTTCTGTGRTCAGCGCGCCATGGACACGTTGGGCTTCACCCCTGAGGAGAAGTACGGCTGCTATAAACTGGTTGGAGCCATCATGCACTTTGGAAACATGAAGTTCAAGAAGAAACAAAGAGAAGAGCAGGCTGAGGCTGACGGCACTGAGAGTAGGACACGTTTAAACCTCATTTCATCCCACATTAATGGTCTTGTGGTGTAAAGCACTTTGGAGTCTATAGGGACTGTATCATTTCAGGGCATTTACCATTTATTTATAGTGTTTTATTTATAATTCTACATAATGCTACCTTTAGAGGTTTATAAATATTATTTTTGGTATGTGTTTGGGTGGGCTCAGGTGTGGACAAGGCWGCGTACCTGATGGGCATCAGTGCTTCTGAGCTGCTGAAGGGGCTGCTGAACCCGCGGGTCAAAGTTGGAAATGAGTTTATAGTTAAAGGGCAGACGGTTGAACAGGTAATCAGTCTACCAGCTCCAAACCATCTGAACCAGGGACGGCTGGGTGAAGTGTTTTCTGTCTGACTGCAGGTGAACTACGCTGTTGCAGCTTTGGCCAAAGCCACGTATGACCGGATGTTCAAGTGGCTCGTGGGCCGGATCAACTCGTCTTTGTACACCTCTCTGCCTCGACAGTACTTCATCGGAGTTCTGGACATAGCCGGCTTTGAAATCTTTGAGGTAAAGACACAAACAAGTCTGAGGTGTTTAGGTGTTGATGTCTCATCATCAATGCTCCTGGTTTTGAAATAAAAGAGTAAAAATCTTGTTTCTGGTCTCGTGCAGCTGAACAGCTTCGAGCAGCTCTGCATCAACTTCACCAACGAGAAGCTGCAGCAGTATTTCAACCACCACATGTTCGTCCTGGAGCAGGAGGAGTACAAGACTGAGGGCATCGAGTGGACCTTCATAGACTTTGGTCTGGACCTGCAGGCCTGCATTGACCTCATAGAGAAGGTGGCTTTGCCTCTGATTTGTCAACTGAAGGTTGAAGATACAGATAATTAACGTGTTTGTTTCCAGCCYATGGGGATCCTGTCCATCATGGAGGAGGAGTGCATGTTCCCCAAAGCCACGGACCAAAGCTTCAGAACCAAACTGTACGACAACCACCTGGGAAAGTCCCCCAACTTCCAGAGACCACGACTGGACAAGAAGCGCAAATACGAGACACACTTTGAGCTGGTTCACTACGCCGGGGTGGTGGGTYGCAGCTGCTAGTGTTAACGATCAAAGAGAGGGAGTTTAAACTCTTTCATCTGGAACTTCACTAACAAAATGATCTCTTTTCAGTCTTATTATGGTGAGAGTTTGGTCCTCATGTAATCAWACAACTGTCATGGTAAAAACCGTTATTAGAGCTGACATTAGACAGTCAGGATCAATCCTCCATCACATAACTTTGACAGACCAACCTTTCATCACACCTGTTCTGTATTTTTGTGCTAAGCTTTATCAGTCCAGTTGTTGGGCTCTTAGTTTGGCCTGTTTTTAACAAAGTTTGGTGTGTAGGTGCCGTACAACATCATGGGCTGGCTGGACAAGAACAGAGATCCTCTGAATGAGACAGTGGTGGCTCTTTTCCAGAAATCCTCCAGCAAACTGATGGCCGGGCTGTTTGATTATTARGTCTGCGCTGAGATGGGTAACTAACTGAGCCGCTGGTAAACCTCAGCACAGGGCAGGAGGGGGGGGGCAGGCTGTTTAATCTTGTTTGTGTTGGTTCAGAGGGGGAACTCAAGAGGGAAACCAAACACAGGAAGAGGAAAGCTGCATCTTTTCAGACTGTCTCACAGCTGCACAAGGTCAGTTCGATCAAAATACAGTATGTTTTATAGCTACAAGAACAGAAAAACAAGAGAGAAGTCTACAAGGAAAGAGTTAACTAAACTTAAGCATCTTTAACTAAACAATTCTCCTCTTGTTCAGTTTACAACATTATTAGAGGATCACAGTAACTGGTTTTAATGAATTGAGTGCAGAACAGGAAGTAATATTCACCTGATCACTTCTGGTTTTTGGTGTCATGGCAGGAAAATCTGAACAAACTGATGGCGAACCTCCGCAGCACTCAGCCTCACTTTGTCCGTTGTATCATCCCCAACGAGACCAAGAGTCCAGGTAAAACAACCCAGCATCTCTGCTGGGTCACAGCTGGTCTCTGTAGTTTACTGGAAGCAGTTTGAGGATGATTTGTGTTATTCTGTCCATGTTTGCCCAAAAAACAACAATGAAGCGCGACAAGCAGACACACGTGATGAAGCAGCTTAGAGTGAWCCATCAGAACCAAACACATCTGATGAAAACTACAATTGATTAGAACTGATGTTAAAGCAAAATGTTWTTTCACCTGTCACCTGTTGTTCTTTCCTCCAGGGGTGATAGATCCCTTCCTGGTCCTCCATCAGCTCAGGTGTAATGGAGTCCTCGAGGGAATCAGGATTTGCAGGAAGGGTTTTCCAAACCGTCTCCTGTACGCCGAGTTCAAACAGCGGTGGGTTCTGAGTCTGAAGAGTCTTAATGTGGTCTGAAGACTCAATGTGGTCTGAAAAGTCTTAATGTGGTCTGAAGACTCAATGTGGTCTGAAAAGTCTTAATGTGGTCTGAAGACTCAATGTGGTCTGAAAAGTCTTAAAGTGGTCTGAAGACACTTAAAGTCATCTGAAAAGTCTTAATAAGGTCTGAAGACTCTTAATGTGGTCTGAAGACTCTTAATGTGGTTTGAAGAGTCTTAATGTGGTCTGAAGAGTCTTAATGTGGTTTGAAGAGTCTTAATGTGGTCTGAAGAGTCTTAATGTGGTCTGAAGAGTCTTAATGTCATCTAAAAAGTCTTAATGTCATCTAAAAAGTCTTAATGTGGTCTGAAGAGTCTTAATGTGGTCTGAAGACTTTTAATGTGGTCTGAAGACTCTTAATGTGGTCTGAAGACTCTTACTGTGGTCTGAAAAGTCTTAATGTGGTCTGAAAAGTCTTAATGTGGTCTGAAGACTCTTAATGTGGTCTGAAAAGTCTTAATGTGGTCTGAAGAGTTCTCCAGACTTAAAACTGCCTCTAAACTCAGGAGATGAAGCAGTGATGTCAGCAGTGATGTCAGCACTTTGTTCAAACAGGACTTGTTCTGCCACACTTCCTAACCCTAACACTGATCCACCTTCTTTCCTCAGGTATCGTATCTTGAACCCGACTGCGATCCCCGAGGACTCGTTCATGGACAGCAGGAAGGCAGCAGAGAAGCTCCTGGGCTCTCTCTACATAGACCACACTCAGTACAAGTTTGGACTCACGAAGGTACAACAAACACCCGCCGGTGCCAAACGACATCACGTTGTCTAAATGTGTCCTGCTCCTCTCCAGGTCTTCTTTAAAGCAGGTTTGTTGGGACAGCTGGAGGACATGAGGGACAACCGTCTGTCCCACATCATCACGGCAGTCCAGGCCATGTGCAGAGGGAAACTGATGAGGATCGAACGACAGGATCTGACTCTGAAACGGTCAGTTTGATGTAAAATCTACTTGTTGAAAGAAATTGATTGATGTTTATTTTTAATTTTCTACCTGATGTTCAGATTGATCCAGTTTGTTTCAAACTAAATGAAGTCGAGTCTTTTTGAGCTTCTGAGGCTTTGATCTCTTTCTTTCAGAGARGCTCTGCTGGTCATCCAGCTCAACYTCAGGGCGTTCTTCTCGGTTAGGACTTGGCCCTGGATGATGATGTTCTACAAGCTCCGCCCACTGCTCAGGAGCGCCCAGGTGGAGAAGGAGCTGGCTGCTCTCAGAGAGGATTTCGRCAAGTTAAAAGAAGCCTTTGAAAGGTTGGTTTACAGGTTAGGAGCTGCTCAGACATGGACTTGTATCTGACGGGTGTTTCTGGCTCCATCAGGTCGGAGGCGAAGCGTCGGGAGGCCGAGGAGCGGCAGGTGGTGTTGGTTCAAGAGAAAAATGATTTGGCTCTGCAGCTTCAAGCAGTGAGTGAATATTTAACCTGATGTTTTAGAGCCTGATGTGAAGCAAAGACCTGACAAGTCTTTTCTGTGACCTGAACCAACCAGGAGCAAGACAACCTGATGGACGCAGAGGAGCGCTGCAATCAGCTGATTCAGTCCAAAATCTCCCTGGAGTCGAAGCTGAAGGAGGCGCAGGAGCGTCTGGAGGACGAAGAGGAGGTGACCGCCAACCTGACGTCCAAGAAGCGTCAGCTGGAGGACGAGGTGCTGTCCCTGAAGAGGGACGTGGACGACCTGGAGATCACGCTGGCTAAAGTGGAGAAAGAGCGACACAGCGTGGAAAACAAGGTGTTGTACGGCTGCACAGGATCTGAGACACACTTTACTTATTAAAACAAACAAAAGACAACCAATAAACAAAACAGTCATACATTTATTTACTGTTTCACTTTGATCGTAGATTTCTTTGTCATCCTTTACAAAATGCTGTCAAAGACCTGATTGTGTTTTGTGATTTTTCAAAGCCCTACTCATGACTCCCTTCCTCTGTCCAGGTGAAGAACCTGTCCCATGAGATGTGTGTTCTGGATGAATCCATTGCATCTTTGAGCAGAGAGAAGGCTGCCCTGGTGGAGGCCCACCAACAGGCCCTCAATGATCTGCAGGCGCAGGAGGACAAGGTCAACATGCTTGCTAAAGCCAAGGCTCGACTGGAGCAGCAGGTGGACAACGTGAGTCACGTTCTCCTTCGTGTTGCACCTCTGCCACAAGACAAACAGCTCTGAGAGAATCCTTCTGCTGCTTTCATGTCATTTTACCATGAAAGTGTAACACAGAGTAAAAGACCTAAGTGTGTTTTTATAACGCACCATCATGAGATACAGTCACTCTGCTCCCTGCAGGCCGAGGCCTCCTTGGAGCAGGAGAAAAGGGTACGAAGTGATCTGGATCGAACCAAGCGTAAACTGGAGGGGGACCTGAAGCTGTCCATGGATTCAGTGAAGGACCTGGAGAACCAGAAAGAAGAGCTGGAGGACAGACTGAAGAAGTAAGAATGGTTCATTGATCTTTTTAGGAGCTTCACACTCCTTCAGAGCTAACTGAAAGGTTTTCAGCACTTCTCCGCCTCCTTCGTCCTCTTCAGGAAAGACTTTGAGGTGGATCAGCTTCAAGCCAAAATGGAGGATGAGCAGAGCGTGGCCACTCAGCTTCAGAAGAGGATGAAGGAGCTTCAGGTGGGTGGAGCAGGACTCCGGCTGGTCCTTCTCCCTGATCCGTGCTGCTTCAGCGTGCTGACTGTTCCTGCAGACTCGCATCGAGGAGCTGGAGGAGGCGCTMGAGGCGGAGCGGGCCTGGCGCCTCAAAGCTGAACGCCAGAGGAACGACATCGCCAAGGAGCTGGAGGAGCTGGGAGAGAGGRTGGAGGAGGCGGGAGGAGCCTCGGCCGCTCAGATCGCCCTCAACAGGTCGACCTAARAATAAACACTTTCCCAGCTCTGCTTCGTTTAAACACGTTTGAAGGACAGTTTGGGACAGTTTGCACCTGAACTGTTCACAGGGCCCGCTTTTTAAAACCTGACATGATTCTTCACTGAACAGGAAGCGAGAGGCTGACTTCCAGAAGTTGCGTCGGGAGATGGAGGAGGCGGGGCTTCACCATGAGGCCATGGTGGCCACTCTGAGGAAGAAGCACTCGGACACTGTGACGGAGCTCAGTGAGCAGATCGAAGCTCTGCAGAGATCCAAACAGAAACTGGAGAAGGAGAAGACRGAGGTCAAGCTGGAGGCTGACGACCTGACCATCAATGTGGAGCAGCTGACCAGGACTAAGGTGCAAACAGTACAACTCTTTATTTTTAATAATAATTTRTGTTCTGCTCTACGGGACGCCAAATATAAAATGAAATGTTAAAAAATGTCACTAACACACTTTTCTTAATTTAGCTCACTTCCTGTGTTAACATTTCCCACTAACGTTTTATTGTTATTTAGCTCACTGTTCTTACATTTAGCTAAGTTTACTAAACATTAAATTTAAATGTTAAAATCTATATTTAAATATTAAATCCTAAATCTAAATGTTTAAATCTAAATGTAAAAATTAAACCTTAAATGTTGAAGTTCACATTTAGGTATTTTGGAATGGAACGCAGCCTATGCCGTTGGTGCTCGGCTCATGCCATGATGTCATCATCCCGAGACAACAACAACCACTAGCTCCAAAGCAGCTAAAGCTCCCTCCAAATTTTTTTAAAAAGCTAAAGCTTTCCTTCAAAGACATTAAACTTGCAACAATTAGTGTTAGCTGACCAGGATGATGACGTGCTAGCCACCGCTAACCGCTGCTGAAGATAATATTTAAAATCTTAATTCAAAATGTGTTCATATAAACAATCTGGGCAGTCCCTGTGGTCCAGCAGCCAGAACTGCAAATTTGATGTCTTGTAGGGAAGCTTTAGCTGCTTTGGAGTGCTAACGATTGCTATTGTCTCAGGATGATGACATCATAACATGAGCCAAGCACTAACAGTAAAGGCTGTGTTCCATTCCAAAATACTTAAATGTGAACTTCAAAATTTAAGGTTTAACTTTAAAATTTAGATTTAGGATTTAATTAAATATATTTTTCTAATATTTAAATTTAATGTTTAGTAAAAATTATTTAAATGTAAGAAGAGTGAGGTAAATGAAAAATATGTTGGTGAAATTTTTCAACATTTAAACCGTGCAGGGGGCGGTGGAGAAGATGTGCAGGGTCTTTGAGGACCAACTGACTGAGAGCAACAACCGAGCAGATGAACTTCAGAGACAACTGACCGAAGTTTCTGCTCAGAAAGCTCGAGCCGTGACAGAAGCTGGTAAAACAAAGAGAAACACCAGAATCTATAATCATCATGATTGTTTTCTCCTTTACACTTTCTTCTGTATGTTTTTAGACAATAACTTCTTTAGCTGATGTTTKAAATGTTGAGTTGGTTGAGATTTTTAGATAATTTATTTGAACTTTTTGCTCTTATAGAAATGCAGACTTCTGGGATCATTTAGAATACCTTCTTTATTCTTAAATTTTAGCTGCTGTTTTTTTTATTTTTATTTTTTTGATTCCTTCTACAGTTTAATTAATTTTGGCTTCAATTTGCTGTTGTGCTAATTGTAACTTTTGCTAATTTAATCTTTTGCTCTGACAATTTTAAAGTAACAAATTTCAGCAGTACTCAGCATTCACACAGATCTTTAGCAGAAAATGCTTGATTTTCTAGCTGGTCTTGTGTTTTATGAACTGACTGAACAATCAGTTTAACAAACWAAAAATGTTTATTTGAGCCTTTGCTTTATAAAAATGTTCCTTTGTTCTCATAAATATCTGAGATCTGAGCTGAGACTGCAGGGTCACCTGAAGGTGAAACGTACAGCAGAGTGTCGTCTGCGTAGCATGAAACAAAGGAATCAGGAAGTGACCAACAAAGTCTGAGCTCTGAGCCCAGGGTCCTCCTGTAGAGCAGAGGTGGAARGTGGACTATATTCTCATCAGGACACGTGTTGATCTGAACACCTAACCCTCTGACCGGATTAAACTGCTGTTTCTTCTTTTCTGCCGTTTTCTCAGACGAGTACCGCCGTCGTCTGGAGGAGCGGGACGTTACGATCGGTCAGCTGCAGCGCTCCAAGCTCAGTTTCAGTCAGGACACTGAGAATTTGAAGAAGCAACTTGAGGAAGGTAGCCAGGTAAGATGTCAAACTTTAACATRTTRAGCTCTTTCTGTTGAACTTTGAGCCGTGTGTCAACAAACGCAGGCGTCACGGTGTGCTCTGACATCTTGTATCGGTGCTGCAGGCTCGGGTGGCGRTGGCTCACGCCCTGCAGGGGTCTCGGCATGACGGCAGTTTGCTGAGGGAGCAGCTGGAGGAGGAGCAGGAGGCCAAAGCTGAGCTGCAGAGGGCGCTGTCCAAAGCCAACAGCGAGGTGGTTCAGTGGAGAGCYAAGTACGAGACCGACGCTGTGCTGAGAATAGAGGAGCTGGAAGACGCAAAGTAAGCTAACACAACCAGGAAGTCCTACATTAACCCAGTTCAAAACAAACTAGACACTCCATAGCGYTAGCATATGGCCCCCGCACGTACACAAAGCACCAGAACTCAGAATAGAGTTATTGTTTTGGGTGTGGATCGGGGGGGGGGGGGGTGGTCATTGGTGGGCCTGATGGACAGCCCTTCATCAGAGCTAAACAAAAAAAAAACCTGAAGCTCTTATGTTGAATAGTGTTTGAGTTACAAGCAGTTTTGTATGTCCAGACACCCCCGTTTTAGATGGAGCCCCCTCCTCAAATATGGGGTCCATCATAAAACCACTGGCTGGCTCAGTGTAGGTCGWACTCATCTACAGTCCTGACAGATTCGTAAGGTATACTATCCAATGTGTTATTACCCTGAATATGATCTAGGAATAACTCTCAGCTACTACCACACCAATATTTAGCTCAGTATCTGTGAACTCGGAGTTGTTGCCATGTCAGTGTTTAGCTGTGGTGGCCATCTTGGATAAGGCTGACTCCAATAGATGTCCATCCAGTAAGAACTTTCTGAGAGCTCCAATCATTTTCACACAATGGTTCATGAGATATTTTGCCTACAGACACACAAATCTAGAGTTTTTTTCTCAGCCTCTCATCAGATTTATTTTCTGTTCGCAGGAAGAAGCTGGTGGTGAAACTGCAGACTGTAGAAGAAGCCTTGGGAGGAACTCAGGCTAAATGTTCCTCGCTGGAGAAAACCAAGCAGCGTCTGCAAGCAGAGATCGACGACCTGGTGGCTGAACTGGAGCGCTCCAACGCTGCCACTCTGGCTCTGGACAAGAAGCAACGAAACTTCGACAAGGTTGGTCCAGATGTGAGACGAGAGCGTGGTGAGGCTGGAACCGAGCTCTGAACTCGGGGTGGTTTGTGTGGTCTGACACAGCTGCTGAGCGACTGGAAGCTGAAGTTTGAGGAGAGTCAATCGGAGCTGGAGGCGTCGCAGAGAGAGTCTCGCAGTCTGAGCACCGAACTCTTCAAACTGAAGAACAGCTACGAAGAAGCTCTGGACCAACTGGAGACCGTCAAACGAGAAAACAGGAACCTGCAAGGTACCTGTGTGYTGCACTGATCTTTGTTTACAGGGTCGAGTCTTACAGCACTCTTTAATTTCAGAGGAGATCCTGGACCTGACAGACCAGATCAGTCAGGGAGGGAAGACCATCCACGAGCTGGAGAGGATGAAGAAGATCTTGGACGTGGAGAAGAGCGACATCAGAGCTGCTCTGGAGGAAGCAGAGGTGAGACTTCCTGTTTCGGGCACCTGACAGCTCACCTGAACCTGAGCGTTAACCGTCGTACCTTCCACCGCCCAGGGGACGCTGGAGCACGAGGAGAGCAAGACCCTGAGGTTTCAGATGGAGCTGCAGCAGATCCGGACTGAGGTCGACAGAAAGATCGCCGAGAAAGACGAAGAGATAGAAAACCTCAGGTACCAAATGACTCAGAGGTCAGAGGACAGAACAGCAGCCAGGGCTAGCCAGGCTAACCGTAGCATCGATGGTCGGCTCGGCTGATGTGAGCAAAAATACAACAGTTTCTCTTTATTGTTGGGTAGCTGAATGATGTAGAGTTGATGGTCGGCTCGGCCAACGTGAGCAAAAATACGACAGTTTCCCTTTATTGCTGGGTAGCTGAATGTCATAGCATCGAAGGTCGGCTCGGCTGATGTGAGCAAAAATACAACAGTTTCCCTTTATTGCTGGGTAGCTGAATGTCATAGCATCGAAGGTCTGCTCGGCTGATGTGAGCAAAAATACAACAGTTTCCCTTTATTGCTGGGTAGCTGATGATGTAGCATCGATGGTCTGCTCAGCTGACGTGAGCAAAAGTACAACAGTTTCCCTTTATTGCTGGGTAGCTGAATGTCATAGCATCGAAGGTCTGCTTGGCTGATGTGAGCAAATATACAACAGTTTCCCTTTATTGCTGGGTAGCTGATGATGTAGCATCGATGGTCTGCTCAGCTGACGTGAGCAAAAATACGACAGTTTCCCTTTATTGTTGGGTAGCTGATGATGTAGAATCGATGGTCGGCTCGGCCAACGTGAGCAAAAAGACAACAGTTTCCCTTTATTGCTGGGTAGCTGAATGTCATAGCATCGAAGGTTGGCTCGGCTGATGTGAGCAAAAGTACAACAGTTTCCCTTTATTGTTGGGTAGCTGAATGACATAGCATGGACGTCACAATATGCAGACAGGGGGCAGGAAGTAGATGCAGCCCCATTTCCTTCTGGTTCAGCATCAAAATGTCTAAAGTCTGTGCCATGTACAGTTGTTGCACATGTTGCAAACTTGTTTTATCAGGAGAAAGATAAAAGCTTTTTACCTGAAAGTAGTGAGTCAGATAAAAGACGACAAAAGAAAATCAACAATCTAAAAACACGAGAAGAAACGAACATTTCAAGAGTTTGCAGCGACACCTTTCTAACAGTAAGAATCAAATCATTTAAATCCTATTATCTGATATTTTATTGGACGGTTACTTAGAAAGACAAGCCTTCATATGCCAGGGAAGATAATATTGTGTTTACGTCCTAGCTTGATTGTCCCAAGAGAAGGTTTGAGTCATTGTTAGCATTAGCGTTAGCATTGTTGTCACAGGACAACAACCTGAAACTAAATAATTGTAGCTTCGAGGCTTTTGAGAGCTTTCATCTGGCTCCTCGTATAATACGAGCTCTGCACCAGATCGCCTCAACGACAGTAAATTCTCCAGATTATATGACAAATTATTTTTATTAAGATCATATGGATCAGATCCTAAATTTATTCATATTATTGAACAATACCTCGTCTGCACCAGAACATTTAGGTCATTATCCTACTCGCTGTCATCCAGTTCACTGTTTTGAACCGGAGCGAATCACTTCCTGTCCTCCCTCTGAGTTTGACTTGTCATCCAGGTCACATGACTGCAACTCAGCAATAAGAGCAAAAAAGTTTAAAAACTAATATATATAGTTGCTACTGCTGCCTAAATAATATTACTCATTGTTCTGCTTTGTTCAGAGACAGCCTGACAAATCAGAAAGACTTTGCAGAAAAACCTAAAACTCTGGAAAATTTAAAAAAAGGAGAAAAGAGGCAGAAAAGTAGCTAAAAGCTAAATGTCACAGAGCGGTAGCTAGCAGCTTAATCAGTAAAACAAATCGTAAAACTAAAATTAGCTAAACTGTAAGTAAAACTGGCAACAAAATGTGTTTAAGTGCCCAAATTAGCATAGCACATGCTAATATTAGCAAAACCTTAGCTGAAAGTACCAAAACAAATGCTTACACTAAAATCAGCAGCTAAAATGAGAAAACCTGCTGAAAGGAGCTAAACGGCAGCTAAAGTAGGACCGTTGAACCGGCCCACGCCGACCCACTGCGTCTCCCCACCAGGCGGAGCCACCAGCGCTCCCTGGAGAACATGCAGACCAGTCTGGAGGCGGAGATCCGCAGTCGCAGCGAGGCCGTCCGCCTGAGGAAGAAGATGGAGTCGGACCTGAARGAGATGGAGGTTCAGCTGGGACACGCTAACCGGCAGGCAGCCGAGAGTCAGAGGATCATCAGACACCTGCAGACACAGGTACGCTCACCTGAACGCGTCAGGAAAACACAGCTCTGAGGTGACGTCAGGTTTCTGTTGAAGGTCAAGGAGCAGCAGGTGGAGCTGGAGGACCGGGTCCAGCTGACCAATCAGCTCCAGGAGCAGGTGGTCCTGTTGGAGCGCAGGTGCTCACTGCTGACGGCGGAGGAGGAGGAGCTGAGAGGCGTCCTGGAACAGACCGACCGGGCTCGAAAGATGGCCGAAACCGAGCTGCTGGAGGTGGTGGAGAGAGCCAACCTGCTCACCACGCAGGTACAAGAACCTACAGGATGTTCTCAAAAGGGTTTGGAAAGTTCTCAATGTAAAACTCTAAAGTCTGAACGAGTCAAAAGTAAAGTGGACCGAGCCGGTCCGACACGTGGATCAGGAAGAACAGGTGGAACTGATCTGCTGTTCCTGTGTGTCAGAACGCAGGTCTGGTGAACCAGAAGAGGAAGRTGGAGGTGGACCTGTCTCACCTGACGGAGGAGGTGGACGAGGCCGTGCAGGAGAGCCGCAGCGCTGAAGAGAAAGCCAAGAAGGCCATCACCGATGTCAGTCCTGACCTCTGACCCCTCCTCACAGAACACCGCCGAGTCGCTGGGTTTCACTGCAGCTGCTTCCTGTCTGTGTTCCTGCAGGCGGCGCTGATGGCCGAGGAGCTGAAGAAGGAGCAGGACAGCAGCACCGTCCTGGAGAGGATGAAGAAGAACATGGAGTCCACCGTGAAAGGTTCGCAGAGTATTTTAACACACACCTGACCTCACCTGACCTGACCTGACCTCACCTGTTAGCCTCTCTCTGACAGAGCTGCAGGTGAAACTGGACGTGTCGGAGCAGACGGCTCTGAAAGGAGGAAAGAAGCAGATTTACAAACTGGAGACAAGAGTGAGTTCTGCAGGTGCATGAACTTCAGTCACCTGGTGGATGAAGCCCTGCTCGGCTCTCACAGGTGGGCTGTGTGTGCAGGTGAAGGAGCTGCAGACGGAGCTGCTGCTGGAGAAGAAGAACAGTGAGGATTATCAGAAAGGACTTCGTCGCTGTGAGAGGAGAGTCAAAGAGCTGACGTACCAGGTGAGACCTGCTGCTGCAGGTGTTCTGCTGCTCCTGGTCTTCTCTCACTGGTTCTGCTGCTCCTGGTCTTCTCTCACTGGTTCTGCTGCTCCTGTTCTTCTCTCACTGGTTCTGCTGCTCCTGTTCTTCTCTCACTGGTTCTGTTGCTCCTGTTCTTCTCTCATTGGTTCTGTTGCTCCTGTTCTTCTCTCACTGGTTCTGTTGCTCCTGGTCTTCTCTCATTCGTTCTGCTGCTCCTGGTCTTCTCTCACTGGTTCTGTTGCTCCTGCAGTCCGAGGAGGACAAGAAGACTTTGCTGAGGATGCAGGAACTGATCGACAAGCTGCAAGCTAAAGTCAAGACTTACAAGAGACAAGCTGAGAACGCTGTGAGTCGAAGAACTGCTTTGATTCTTCACACAAAGATTCTTCATCCAAAACTTCATGTCAGAAAATGCTCCAGCTAGGATTAAAGAAAGTCTGTTCCCCAGTTTAACCAGTTTAATTTAATAACATTTAATTTGGGAGGAGTCGTTTCTCTTTTAAAATCTGCTGTAAATAAACTGAAGAACTTCTCCTCCTCCACCACCAGGAGGAGCAGGTGAGCAGCACCGCCGTGCGTTTCCGTAAAGTCCAACATGAGCTGGACGACGCCGAGGAGAGAGCTGACATCGCCGAGACCACCGTCAACAAGCTGCGGATTCGAACCCGCGAACAAACCAGCAGCAAGATCACCGTGGTGAGTCACCAACAAACAAACAAACAAACAAACAAACAAAAAAACAAACAAACAAACAAACAAACAAACAAACAAACAAAC